CGTAGTGTGTGTGTGTGTGTGTGTGTGTGTGTGTGTGTGTGTGTGTGTGTGTGTGTGTGTGTGTGTGTGTGTGTGTGTGTGTGTACCATGTGAGAGAGAGAGCCTGGATGAACACGTGTGAGCAGAGGCGGCATGCTCAGGATGACAATCGGATCCATCGGTCCTGCACGCACTGTAAACACACACACACTCACACACACATGCACGTACGCGAACACGCACCATCCTGGCTTGATGCCCTCTGCTCCCTTTGCAATCTCCGCGGAGAACTTGTCCGACTCCTGTGCAGTCACGTGCAGCAGGCGATGCCCGTATGGGCCCGCACACGAACAGCCTGTTTGGGTAATGAGTGCGTGTACATGCATGTGTGGTCCACCACGCGTTCAGTACCGTTGCTGTGATGATATGTCGCGCTGACGGAATGTCACGTCACACCCAACACGCACACTGGCAAGTTCAAGCAGAGCCGATTGTCTGACCAGTTGGTGCATCCAACAGCAAACCCGCACGCACGCACGCACGCACGCACACACACACACACACACGTACACGTACACGCACACGCACACGCACTTGCACACGCACGCGCATACACGCGCACACGCACACACCTCCACGGGATTGGATGCCAAAGAGGTCGTTGAGCAAGGCCACGACAAAGTTGTGGTGCAGGTAGCGTTTGCCGACGCGAATGACGATGCTGGTGATGGTCAGCTTGGGCAGTGTCTGGTTGCCAAGAAGCACAATATTTGGATTCTTCGTCCATACCTGAGGCAACGACAGATTGGGAAGGGGGATGTTAGGGATGTTGTGTTGTATCGTGTTGTGTTGTGTGATGTTGTGTGATGTTGTGTGTTGTTGTGTGTTGTGTTGTGTTGTGTCGTGTTGTGTCGTGTTGTGTGTTGTGTGAGCGGTGTGAATCGGAGGAGAGGGATGGCAGTCGTTGCGCTCGAAGGAGGAGGCAATGCATCCGGTAAGTGAAAAGATGAGCACCTTCACATGCATGCATGCACACACACACACACACACCACAATACAGCACACAACTTCCGCCCCTGCCCCCCCCCCCTTTGACAAACCTTGAGCGCCGCCGAGAGTGCAGCCATCTCCAGGGCGTGGATGTTGTGCACGCCAATGTCCATCTTGAGCTTGAAGACGAGACCGCAGCGGATGGAGCCGACAATGTCTGGTGTGCCGCCCTCCTCGCGCGTCTCAATGTCCGCCTTGTACTTGTGGCGCGTGGGCGACACAAACTCCACCGTGCCGCCAGCGGGGTGCACAGGGGTGGCGTTCTGGAAGAGCTCACGCCGCGCCACCAGCACGCCAGGGGTGCCCGGCCCACCGACAAACTTGTGCGGGGAGATGAAGACGGCGTCAAGGTACGCGTGGTGGGACGGGTGGCTGCGAAGCTGCATGTCAATGTCCACGTACGGTGCTGCTGCCGCATAGTCAAAGCAGGCGAGGGCGCCGTGCTTGTGCAACAGCGTGGCAAGCGCGGGCACATCCGTCAGCACGCCCGTGACGTTGGAGCCGGCAGAGAAGCTGCCAATCTTGAGCGGCCGCTTCCTGTACTTCTTGAGCATCTTCTTGAGCACATCAAGGTTGACGGCGCCATCGGCCGTCTCGGGGATGGTGACGACCGTGGCCGTTGTCTCCCGCCAGCTCACCTCGTTGCTGTGGTGCTCGTACGGCCCAATGAACACCACGGGCCGCTTGGACTCTGGGACGGCGCCCTGTGTTGCACAACGCCGGCGATCCTTGATGTCAAGGTCGAGCACGCCAATGAGCTCTGCGATGGCGGCTGTCGACCCGGATCCCGTGAAGAGCACCGCATGGTCTTGGGGTGTGCCACCGCAGGCTTCGCGGATGATGTCTCGCGCCTCCTCTCGCAGCCGTGTTGTCTGCAGGCCCGTGGCAGATGCTTCCGTGTGCGTGTTTGCGTACAGCGGCAACACCACATCTCGGATGTAGTCTTCGACCAGCCCCAATGCTCGGCCACTTGCCGTGTAATCTGCACAGTGTGTTTGCGTGTATGTGTGCGAGCATGTTTGTGTGTGTGTGTGTGTGCGAGCATGTGTGTGTGTGTGTGTGTGTGTGTGTGTGTGTGTGTGTGTGTGTGTGTGTGTGTTAACATGTGTGGTGGATCCTCCTTCAACAGGAAAGCGGTGCGGCACATGATTCTCGACTCAACAGCTGAGAAGAAGCTTGCTTGACAATTCAAGACAATTCGCATTGGCAAGCAAGCAATCAAGCACGCCTGGAAACGAACCTGCGTAGATGAGCGGCTTGGCGCCGAAGGGGCCTGCAACCAACCGACCAACACCAAGGACGACAATGTATCAGGGCTCAACGGGGTGTGGGTGTGGTAGAACGATGGTGCGTGTCACAGTCACAGTCACAGCCACAAACACAAGAGCAAGTCACGCCTTTGTTGTGTAATGCTCGCACGTCATGGTCAAGGATAGGGCGGCTTTCATGGTTTCATCGCTGCTGAGACGCA